GCAGGATGGCTCAGCTAAAAAGAAACAAAAAAAATAAGAAAGGAAAGCTGTATTAAAATGGTAATACTCAACATATACTGTAACAAAAGATAAATACAAGTCACGTTTGACTTCTGCAATTACAATAGGTGCTCAAAGTGGTTACCATCAGTGTTCTGATTATGGTGAACTACAGCTTGAGCAACGTTGACCAAAGTCCAAAGTATCCACTTGTGTATATTTTTTTGGCACCTTTGGTAATAGACAGGCTACTGGCATGGGACCTTCTCATGTACTATCTGCTGTGTTTCCAGAGGGCTAGGTTGAAATCTATCATTTCACTGTGGACCAAATCCGTGGACCAAAGGGTTTGTTGAGCCAGTGGGTAGAATAAACACAGGGAATGTTTATTTGCCTTAAGGGTGAAGGCCAACAAATTAATTTCAATATCCTTAGCAGATGCATTGGCATTCCCAAAATGAGTGTGATAGTAACCAATGTCTTAATCCATCACTTAAAACGTTCTAGAGACTCTCTAGAATCCAGAGCCTATGTACTTCGTCTCCTTTCTTCACTACTCAGCCACTAGTGCCCTTTTGGCTATTTTCTACATCATCATCACATCAACCTACCATTTATTAAGCATCTATCATAAGCCATGCACTTTAATGAGGAGTTTATTTAAATGACTCATTAATTTCATTCAATCCTCTTGTATAAAAAGTTCCCAATCCCAACATGGGGTGTTCTTAGCCTGCTCAATTCAAGGCCAGCTTTTAGTAGCAACTACCACCACACCCTAAAACCTGCCAATGTCCTTGGGCCCCTTGAATGCTTTCAAATTCCCTGACATGGGTGAGAGAAGAGGCTCTCATTGAGTGGCCAAAAACTATGGCCTTCAATGATGCAAAGCATGGGCAAGGTGTTAGCCTACTTACATTATGACTGAAGAACTGGCTAGTGGGGTCTCTAAGTAAGGAATGGATGACATTGTGACTTACTCAAGAGCACTTAGCTGGTCTCGGCTAATTTCACCCCAGTGGGAATCTCAAGACTGGTGAACTCCCTCCCACTCCTAGGCAGGAAACAGTGCCCCTTGTGGCAGTTCTTGCCCTGGTCTATACTCTCACTTCCACTTTTGCATTGCCAAGCTCCCTCTGGAGGTTGGACCCCAAGGTGGCCACAACCTCCAAGTTGACACCTCTCTTTCTTTAAGTTTCCACCAGTGTTCCCTTTCTACCTTCTACACTGAAGCCCTCCTCATGCTCCTTTTATCCAAAGAATACATGGGATATCTAGAAATACTTAATTTTCTTAGATCTGGAATCCTAACAGTGATTCACAGAGAACGTATTTATTCTACCCCAAGGGTAAGAGAAGCTTGGAATTCAAGGCAAAAATATGCATTTAATGACTTTCAGAAACATAAAAGTAAAGTTAAATTTTATATTAATAATCAGACCAGGTTGTACATTATTGGGAAAAAGGGGAACATAGTGATTAGACTATGTGTGTCCTCAGTTCAGTCTCACTGGATTTAAAATCAGATTCTACCACTGACTAGCTGAATCACCTAGGAAAGGAGTTGCCAAACTTTTTCTGTTAAGGATTAATAATAAATGTTTTGGCTTTGTGGGCTGTGCAATCTCTGTCACAACTACTGAACTCTATAATTATAGCATGAAAGTAGCCATAGGTGTTATATAAACAAATGAGCATGACTGTATTCCAATAAAACTTTACTTCAAACAAACAAACAAACAAACAAACAAACAAACAAACAGGTATTGGACTGGATTTTCATAGGCTGTACTTTACCAAGCTCTGACCTACCCAAGTTACCTAACTCTATAGACTAAATGTGTGGGTGTTCCCAAAATTCATAGGTTGCAGCCTAATCTCAATGTACTGGTATTTGGAGGTGGTGCCTTTAGGAAGTGATTAGGTCATGAGAGTAGAATCCTCATGAATGGAATTAGTGCCCTCATTAAAGAGACCCCAGTGAACTCCCTCACCCCTTCTGCCATGTGAGGACACAGGGAGAAGATCTAGAAACCACCTATAAACCAGGAAGCAAGCTCTCACCAGACTCTGAACTATGCTGGCACCTTGATCTTGGACTTCCCAGACTCCAGAACTGTGAGAAATAAGTGTTTGTTGTTGAAGCCACCCAGTATATGGTATTTTTGTTTTAGCAGCCTGTAAAGACTAAGACACTTAACCTCACTGATCTCATCTTTAAAATAGGGATGATGAAATACTACTAATGCATATGAATTACTTAAAAGCATACCTGGCACTCAAAAAAGTCTATTATTATTTTTTGTTATTATTTTATTATTAATATTTGTAACTTTATAGCCAACTGCCTACTCAACATTTGTATTTGGTTGTTGGATTGACGTTTCAAAATTAATAAATCTAAAACTGAACCTTTGATCCTCCTTATCAAACCTACAACTCTCAGAGATTTCCCCATTTCAGTTGATGGTAATTTCATCCTCTCGGTTGCTCAGACCAAAATCTTGGAATCAATGCCAAGTCTATTCTTTCTCTCATATCCTATAGCAAATGCATTAGGGCATTCTATTGGCTGTATATCTAAATATACTCAAAATCTGATGACTTTTCCTCGTGTCTACTGCTGCCATCTGGTGTGAGCCCCCATTGTCTCTTGTCTATAATTGGACCTTTTCATCAAACCTTAAGAAAAACCCTCTCCCATCTTTCCTTACTGGCCAGCCCCACACTCCCTCCTGTGGTTCATTAAAGTGTGTTAGTTTTTACTCTCTTTGTAGCTATTTCAAAAAACTTTATAAAGTAAATTGGAAATATTTTCCTGGCCAGTATATCATCATTGGAGAATTTTAAGCATTAAACATAGGGCATAAAATCATCACAATCTACACTGGATATTTGCCAATGAAAACATCAGGGTGATTAAAATATTCCGTGGCTAGTTAAGTTCCCATACCTTACCATCAGATGCCAGGTAGAGGATTGCTTCATTAGGAGCTAGTTATCTCTTCCTGCTAACCAAGAACTGGTAAACCCAGGCAAGGCTGGGACTAAGATAAGGCCAGTGAGGTATTTGCCTCTGATGCAAAACTTAAGAGAGTGCCAAAAACTCTGTAGTCAAGGTAAACACTATTTTACACAGGCAACAATTTGATAGTTATAAGAGGGTAAGTGGTGATGGTGGTAGAAGAGATAAAAGGGGGTCAAGTACATAGTGGTGGAAGGAGAACTGACTCTGGGTGGTGAACACACAATGCAATTCTAGATGATGTTTTATATAAATGTACATTTGAAACCTATATAATTTTACTAACCAATGTCACCTCAATAAATTTAATAAAAATTAAAAAGAGAAAGAAATACTATTTAATGCAATGGTCTAAAAGAATCAAGTCAGCAAGCTATGTTCCTGGCATAGCCACCTGTTTTTGTCAGTGACATTTAATTAGAGAAGGCCTCTCCATTTCTGAGAGGGATGAGTGACAATTCTGAAGGAAGAGCAGTAGGGAGCTCTGTGGGCAAGCTGACCAGCCAGTCTCTGTGCCTATAATTCACTCCCACTGACAAGCATCACCTTCCAAAAGACCTTAGTGCGATGGAAAGGAAATTGGCCTGGGAAGATGGTGACAACCATCATGGGCAAAACTTGCAACCTGTCATCAAAAGTTTGGCCTTCATTGTCCTCAAAGGTCTTGGACTTCTACAATTCTACAAAATGCATTTGCTGAACTTTCCCTGGGTACTTAGTCATGTATGCTATTTGTCTTAGTCCCTGAATCTTCTGCAAATCAGACTTTTCTTTTTTCTAACCAAGTTCCTTTCATTCTTAGCTTAAACTGTGTGGTTGGTGGTTGAATTCTGACACCAGTGTAGCTAAAGCATACCTTGGAGCAGCCTCCAAATCCCACAGAGTACTGACTTATTAGCATCTCTCCACAGAATCCCCTGCTTTAGTTTTTGTGCAGATGACAGTAGTCTATGATTGAATCCTTCTGATTGTGTTGCTTTCATTCTGCAAGTGCTTTTACATCCTGTTCATCAATCTGCATTAATAATGATAACTTTAAATTGGATGCTCATGGCTAGCAGTCTTATTCCTCTCTGAAAGTGAGACCAAAGTGAATGGCAAATAGCAGAAAGGTTTACAGGAGATAAAAGGAAGAAGGTGGGAAGAAATCAAGGGTAGGTGAGATACTTCTTCCCTGAAGAGCTCCAAGCCTGGCTTTGATGAATGAAATGAAAGCAGGGAGTGCGAACGAACGAAGAATCAGGAAACAGGGTTCAATACCGTTGAGCAGTTGTAACTAATACCAAACTTCACTCAGTTTCTGCGGTGGTGCTGATGGCTTTTTACAAATCAGTGTTAATTTGCCACTATTTTAAACACGTATAAAGAAATATATTTAACTAGTACAGAAGACAAAATAAATTGAGATCCCCATCCTCAAGCATATCAATTTTTCTACACCAATAAATCTACTTCATCCTTCAAAGTCTAATGAATTTGTGTGCATATTAATACAAACTATACTTTTCTCTCACTGATTTTATTACACATACACACACACTCACACACACACAGGTAACCACTCAACTCAAATTAGCTTTTTTTATTATTATTAGTTTCAGGTGTACAAAACAATGTAATAGACATTTCACCTCTCACAAAGTGATAACCCCTCTCCCAATCTATTGCCCCTCTGACACCATATGTATCTGTTACAATTCCATTGACTTTATTCCCCATGCTGTACTCCATATCCTGTGACTATATATATATATTAAATTATAGTTGACATACAATATTATTCAACATCAGCTTCAGGTGTACAGTGTAGTGGTCAAGCCTCTACACCGTCCATGAAGTGGTCTCCCTGATAAGACGTGTGCATCTCACACCCTATATTTACAACATTATTGATTATATTCCCCAAACTGTCTTTCCTATCCCCATGGCAATATTGTAGTTACCAATTTATTCTGTCTAATCCCTTCTCCTTCTCTCTCATCCCTACCCCCCTCCCTTCTAGCAACCGAAATAGCCTCAAATTAGCTTTTGATCTAACCAATAGCCATCACACCCTTCCACACTTTTTCCTGTCAGTGAGGACATTTTCCATTCACCACTCAGGAAATAAGATGCTAACCTAGGACTGATTGCCAGGATGGCATACATCTTATACTAAACCCAGTGGTTAATAAGCGAATGGCACTCCATCTAGCACCATTCATCATTAGGGTTGGCTTAGGAAACATCTCTTCCTATCTACTCAAAATAATATCTGCCAAGTTATTAGTCTTCAGGCGATGTTTACACCCCTACGCTCCCTGATCTGCCCCAAGCTAACCTCTTCTTGATGAATGTAGAGCCTGGCTGCCATCCAATTCCTCAAACCATTCCTGGGAGGTTCACCAAAAGGAGGAAGAAAAAACTAAGTATAATGAACTGTGAAGTCAGGATCTGGGGTTCCCTAGGAAGACAATAACAGAAAAGATTATCCAGATGTTATTTAATTTTTAATATTAATATTTAATTTATTAAAATTAATTCACAATTTATTTCTTTTTTTAATACAAGTTTCTTTTTTGTTTTTAATTCTACTTATAAATCTTTTATTGTACTTACAAAGTTAGCAAAATATGACTCTTAGTTTTAAAGGGACTTTAACTAATATTCTGTTCAATTTAAAGCTTTAAATTTTTAAACTCCTGAATACTTTAAACTCAATTTATAAATGTAGTACATTAAATATCCTTATTAAGAACTTCAAATAACAGACATGCAAAAGAAAAAATCTTCTTGAACACCTAAATTACCCTTTCAAATCTGTAAATTAAACTCATAAAAATAGAAATTTTAAATTTGTATTAAACAACCCCACACTGTATGTATGCATAGTAAAATTTTCACCCCAGTTTACAAGTCTAAATCAATTATTCAGTTACACATTTCACATTGAAATCATAAAGCTGATATGTTACTCTCAAAGGAAAATTCTTTTAAATATTATAAACTCTCAGGATATCAAGCATATATTTAATACAAAATATTAAAACTGTAATTCTCTTAAGCATGTCTAGATTTATTTTCAATTTTCTCAAAGTCAAAACATTCTTATTTGCTAACAAGAGTAATATTATCTAAATGATTTTGAGGTTATGGTCTCAACTAGTGAAGGTTACATAAGAATTAGAGAAAACTACCTAGGAACTTGATCAAGATTCATTTGCAGGCCTTTAATGATTGCTGTGGCAGGGAATTCCAGGGTTTAAACAGGGCAGGTTGCCCACCATCCTGAGTGTAAGCCCTACCAGTATCTTATTTTTTGTCTATTCAAGAAAATTTGCAATCCATGCTACCTTACAGCATGACTGGATTCATCTATTTGGTTCTATTCTGAATCATTTTTATCATTTTCTTAGCTATTAGGTCTACACAGCTTGTAGCTTTGTCTGACTGCACATATCTCTAGAGTCAGCCATGTCATTGTAATGGCATGAACAAAAAGGGTTGGGATGCACACTCTGTGAAAAACAGGGAAAAGGAGTGACTTAGGAAAGCGAAGTATCAGAATCTAGTTAACTAGTGTACTCAGAGGATGCTACTACTGTGTCAAGCTCAGAACCACCACAGCTATGCCCTGAAAACCCATCCTCTTTCATTCAGAAGCATTCCATATTGACACAGCTAGTTAGTAGCAAAGACCAGATACAACCTTAGTAATGATTGGATCTAAAATGTGTAGTCTTGGCCTCCAGAGAGGAGCCCATCATTTAGGGAATGGGATATGGCAGTGAGGGTGCAAAAGGAAATGAATAGAAATAAAAGAGATGGAAAATGAGATGTTCAATGTTTATAGACTTTGCCCCTGAAATTCAGATTGAGGGCTGTGTGTGAGCGTGAGCTCAAGTATGTGCATGTGTATTGGCAATGGGACTTTGGAGATCTAGACATGGCAATAAAACCTTAGGACATGTCTCTATCTTGGAAACAAGTTTAAGAACATTTATCATCAAAGATTACTACAGAGTGAGTATAATAGAGGCTGTCACATAACACTCAGATAAACTAGGTTTTTAAGTTGCTACTAAAAACCCTGTCCCTTAATATCTTAGGGAAAGCATTAAACTAGTTCACATTACTGCTCCACAGGAGAGGGTTCTTTTACAGACAAATCATAACAGGCCTATGACTGTGTACTCATCTCTTAGCCTTCTCTGACCTCTGTGTCTCAAATACTCTAACACTAACTACTATTATAGGAAATACTCTAACCATCTGTGGCAGGGACTCCAGAATTTTAACAGGGCAGATTGTCCACCATTCTGAGTGTCAGTCCTATCATTATCTTATTGTTTTGTCTATTCAAGGAAATTTGCAGCTGCTTGGATTGTAAGAAGTACCATGCCCCTTGCTATATTTCTCGGTAGAGTAAACACTCTTAAAGGATGACAGATACCACGAGTTCAAGCCCAGTCTCAAGTGGGCTGCTCCCATGTGTTTCAAAGTCATACTCTCACCTTCTTGCTTTTCTGTGTCTCCTTTTAATGCCCCCGTCCTCCTTATGTCCTTCCTTCTCACTACTTCGCTGTTGCACTCTTGGAGTAAGAAAGAAAAGGGAAAAGTCCAGTTAATTAATACCATAGTCACTAAGAATCTCTGTTGTAAGGATATGTCCTGGGTTTTCATTTGCCTGACTGTTGCGGTCACTGATTTGGCTTCAACAGGTTCAGCCAATCTCGTCCCTGCTCTGGTCACGGTCTCTCTACCCTTTCTGTCTCCTTTTCTAATCCATTAACTTTGAAACGGCCTCTTACACAAAAGTTATGCCATTTACAAGCTGACTTTCAGCTAAAAATCTATTTTATGTAGAAAGGCCATATAACATCACGATTTAACATGGAAACGCCAAAACTAGAGCCCCTGAATGCAGAGCTCATGCCTATCATGGTCCTAGTTGCATGTCCTTGGTGCTAATCATTTAAACTCTTTGTATTTCCGTTTCACACTGTCAAATGGGGACAATAATAATACCTACCTCATATGTTTACTGGGAAGATTAAATGGGCAAATATATCCAAAGCATTCGGAAGTATGCCAAGTGTATAACTAGTGCTAGCTGAATGTTCATGGCCAGTTTAATTTTATTAGAGCTAGTGCGGACAAACTTTGAGTAAAGAATGTAAACTGTGGGGTGAAAGTGTAATGCAGTGGATTTTCCATTGGTCTAGCTCTCTAGACCTCGAAGCCATGATTAGATGAAAGTCAGCTGTGGATTTGGTTACACTCCATTAGAATGACAAATGTGCAGGAATTATTTCCATTTGGCCCAGATCCTGATATCCTTCCAACAGTGCCCCTTTTCTATGCTCGGAGCTCTCTTTGACTCAAAAATTAAAAGCTGGAGAACCACAGTAGCAACTGAAAGTCAGCTGTGCCCAAGGAAAGAACAGGAGCTAAGTGGCCCAAGAATAGGGGCTGAGGGGCCACAGGTATGTTGATTTGTTCAGTGAGCACCATGTCCTGAGGCCGAGGGATAGCATTGAGTTGCATTTTCCTCAGGGTTTGCTGGGAAGTTGACTCTATGATGCTAGCTTCTCTGGAGGCTGGTTCTTTTGGAATTTAGTTCTTGTAGCATTAACCAGGTTCTAAATTGTGAATTATTCAGAGTAATCTGGTTATGGATGGGGAAAAAAAAATATATATATATATATATATATATATATATATATATATATATATATATATATATATATATATAAAATCCCTGTTTTCTGAGGGCTGGGTCTAACATTTTTGTCCCTTCCAACATTTGACCAAGTAGGAGATTTGGAAATGGAAACCCAGGCGTGCCATCTGGCCAGCTAGCTCTCTTTTTTCATTCCTCTCTAGTGGGTCTTTCCATTGTGTTCCTTGTTGCATCTGCTTGGTGGGTGAATGCTGATCCCAGCCAACACCGCCCCACTCTGTTAGAAATGCCACCCTCATTATCATGTTTAGCTGACAAAGGCTACTGTTCCAGGGCCAGAAGTCCATGCCTTATAATCCTGATTTACACAGATGGCATGTAGGCATGGATTCAGAATTTCTGAGTTAGAAAAGACCAGGCACATCACCTCCACCAGCACTATGCAAAGTAACTTTCTGTGGTGATGAAAATGGTTTATAACCTGTGCTATCAATGTGGTAGCCACTAGCCCCACGTGGCACTTTAAGTTTGAATAGTGTTACTGAGAAAGTGGATTTTGATTTAATTTAATTCACATGTAGGTAGGGGCTATCATATCGAACAACTCAGAACTCTTTACTTATTTCATTGAGAAGCAAACTAAGGCTTAGAGAGAAATGACTCGCCCACAGTCACAGAGCTGGGGCAAGGCAGAGCTGGGATTAGAGGCTGGGTCCACACATTTCCAAAGTTGAGTGCTTTTCCCATTTTATCATCCTGAAACCATGAACACAGTTCTGGAATCCCACTGGCAAAAAAAAAGACACCAGAATCTATATGTTTGTAATATCCAGCTCCCAAGAGACAGTTCTCAAGCTTTACCACCCTCCTGGCACCCTTTCCTTCCTCATCCATCAGGGCATAACAGCATGATGTCTGTGCTGAGTCTGTGGAAAGACTTCACTGAAGGCTGGATTGCACGAAACATTCGGTAGCCTCATCTGCAACCTGACAGATTTTTTTCCCCTTTTTCAGAAATAATGGAGTTCATTCACTTCAGGACCTGCATCAGGGTCCTTCTGGAGAACTCTAGATGGTGAGGTGAAACTGTATTCCTGAATACTTTCCTCCCAGCATCTTCTGGAGTTTGTCAACAGCCTCCGCAAGTCCCAGGATGAATAAGATCCTGAATATTTGGCACATGTTAAAGCAATTTTTTTCCTGTCAAAGTTTTGCTGGCCTCTGGGTAGTTTCTTATCAGAACATTAGTATTTGTTGAAAGATTCATTTAAAAACACTGAAAATTGGCACTCATGCAGAGTACAGCTCCAATCCAGGAAGATTTTCAGCTGCTGAGTAGAGAAGTGCAAAACAAATAAATATATGGGTTTTAAAAAGATTCCTTCTTGTGATTAGATACACGTGAGGTATATCTAATGAGGTGGAATGCCATGAGGTAGAATATTTCTCAGTTATCTAGCTCTTTGGGACACTGAAACCATTCAGGGCCCTTCCCCTTGAAACATGGTCCCCTGCTCTGTATTGACAAGTAGATCAAAACTGAAAGGCACCGAGTGATTACAACGTCCACCTCTTCCCATTGCTTCTTGTTCTTCTGATGGCAGGGCAGAGGGCCCCTACAAATAAATTCAGCCATATCCCTATATTTTCTGTTTCTCTGGCATAATTTTTTCTTCCTGGGAAAATTTCATAGCCAATCCTATTTTTTCCTTGGCATACATTAAGTTCTTGGTCATGTATTTTTTAATATTAAACTTACATGATTATTTTGTGTTGTTTTTCATCACTTTCTGAGAGGTAGGGGTACATGGAGAATAGTTAAACATGCCCTGTGGAATTTATTTCTCAATTAACAGTTCCCTAACTCTGTAGTGGACTCTGAGGGTATCCCCCAAATCATCTTGAGCCAAATGGGATGTTCTGAAAGGGCCTACATAAGGGGAGTTGTTCAGTGGGCATCAAGTTTCAGTTATGTGAGATGAGTAAGCTCTAGAGATCTGCTGACAGCACAGTACCTGTAGTTAATTCTATATTTTACACTTAAGAATTTAAGAGGGTCGATCTCGTGTCAAGTTTCCTTCTCCCCACCAGCCACCCCAACACACACACACACACACACACACACACACACACACACACACACACACCAAAAAACACAAGAAAACTTTGGGAGGTGATAGTTATGTCTGTTGCCTTGATTGTGGTAATGGTTTCACAGGTGGGTATATACATATGTCCAAACTGTGTACATTAAGCAAATATACATTAACATAAACTTGTATATATTAAATATATGCATTTTTGTATATCAATTTACTTTATGAAGTTGTTTAAAAAAAAGAATCTGAAAAGAATGAGACACAGCAGGGACGAACCCACAGTTAAAAGGAAACTGAGTCTCCTCTCAGTTAAAAATATGCAACATATTTCTGCCCCGCTTAGATGTGGAGGATACCATTCTCCTTGCAAAGGTACATATTTATATACGTGAATCTGTGTTTCTTATTTGCAAAGTCAGGGCAGTCGTTTTCTTCCTACTTATGATCGTCTCAGATTCAGATTCAATTTCAGGTGCAAAAACTTGCTTATCTGATGAAGGGGTGAATGGATGACAGCACAGCTGAGAGGATCACTTCACTGGGACAGTGATGACTCAGAATTCTCCATGGACCAACAAACTTGATGAAATAGATTCCATTTTGAACTTAATGGAATGTTATGAAAATGCTGTGCACAAGAGAGTGAACCAGGAGGCTGAGTAAGTTCTGGATCATTTCAGCATGGATAAGCAGTGGAAATAATAATGGGGCGACAGACTGTCTCCTCTCAGTAACCAAGCTTGTGGTCTCAACCTTATGGTCAAAATGGTCTACACAGCAGGTCCAAAGATCTCTGAAGCAGAGCAGGTATTAGCAGGCTTTGGAGTCAGTCAGGCTTGGGTTTCAATACTTCCTCTGGGCAAGTTGCTTATTTTTCTAAGCCTCTGCTTTTCCATCTTTAAAATGCAGATCACAATATTCAGTTTGAAGGATTCTTATAAAAAACTACATATATATATGAATCAGTGCACAGCTTAACATGTCATCATCAAAGTTTGGGCCATAGTTACAAGGTTACGGTAATGTCTATATTTTTTCTAAAATTAATAACTAGCTTTTATAAAATTATATAACATTCATTGGCATTTTTAAAAAATCTGTTTTTTTTAAAAACCTGCTTCTCCAGAACTTTCCAGCCTGTGGGTACAGAAGAGGAAAGTAGCAGTGACATTCAAATTCAAATTCCCCAAATCCTTGTCCTTTTTGCTTAGGCCCTGAGAACTACAATTCCTCAGAGTCCTCTGGAACAACTCTACACCCTCAGGCATTTTTTGGGATCTGTCATGTCTACACTAGACCCAAGAGCCTTAGCGTGACATGGCTGACGTGACATGAGAGGGCTTAAGCTTTCTTTAGTACATAGATAAAAATAATATCTCACCTCCCATCAAAGTTACTTAAATGGATGAAAAATAATCAAATAGTCAAATCATTTTGGAACGTAGTTTTAAAAACTATCAGACTTTTTTCCTCATCTGCTATGCTTCCCAAGGTGATGACACTGCCTCCTGTTAGAATCACCTGCTGTTTGTTCTTTTGCAGTGTGAGGAGCTGTGTTGGCTATTTTGTATTACACACTGCTAGGACAGGGCCTCACATAGTGCTGTTCCGGTCACAGAGCCCTTCAGAAACCAGCCATCTCTACATAAAATGCACACATAAATACATGGTTCCTGGTGCTACATGGCCACTCTGTATACATGCGATTTAATGCACAATCCTAGTTAGTGCCATTCCCATAGATGATGATGTGAATGGAATCCCTTGGCTTGTGCAGTGCACTACCTGTCCAACTACGCACAGTGCTTCT